CCATATTCTTACCCAGGCCTTACCTGGGAGTTTCAGTGGCAGAAAAGGGATTCTCCCACAGCATGCAGGGGTGAGATGAGCAAGAGTTCCTCTTACCCTACTTGCCACAGACAACCTCAAACAAGCCCAGGAAGGAGACCTGCGGCTACGTATAATCTTGCTATACAAGAAGAATAAAATGTACCAGCCAGATCTAGGCTCTTAATGTGATCTACTTTAAGCTACAACAGAATAAGATCACTTGACTCTTGATGTCCCACATATGCTGTTAACACATTTAATTTACGTGTGTTGGCTCTATTCATACCTCTAAACCCACCAAAATGTCTCACAAGTAAAGATTTTTGTTTCTCTGCTTTCCTCCTCAGATCCAACACTGAACTTGGCAAAGACACCAAGAGATGTAGCAATAGAGGCTGGGCACATGAGCAGGGTGAGGATGTCAGCTGCCAGCCACACCACACCCCGGGAAAGGCAGATCCTAGCATTTACGTGCAGGAGAATGAGAGACATTTGCATATTGGTAGGACTCAATCTGTTGCTCTTCTGCCCATAAGGTTTTGATCAATATCTGGCTTAAAAGCAGGGTTTGTTGGAAAAAAAAAAAAAAAAAAAAACAACAGTATTTTTCTCCTTAAATCCGTACCATCCGAGCCCTCCAAATTCATCACAGCATCTACATTTAACGCCCACTGGATTTCTCAGGGATATAGGCATCTGCTTAAACGCTTGCCAGATTTGGAGAACTCATGCGCATGCATAAAGCCGTATCAAACTGGGGGTTACATTACAGGGACTCTGTTACACAGCATATCCTCCCCTGCACACACACCATTTCTGTCTTTCTCAGTTTCTCAGGCTTGCTTACCTCCACTAAATCCAAGCCTCAACTGATTTTACTGGCTTTACATTTTGCCAGTGATTTTCTGTTCCTCTTTGCCCTCAGAGTCACTTTCTCTTCTGCCTATTTCTCTGCTTCCCTGACTCTTTTTCTCTGTTTGCTCCACATGACCTTGGGCCTCACCTCTTGACCTTCTAGGCACCGTGTAAATCTTTTCATTTGTTCCACTCTCTGTAAACAGCACTTGCTCCTCTTCAAGTCTCCCCTTAAATCTACACGTGGGTTAGAGCCTATTATTGACTCTAAACCTTATTCCCAGAGGCCTGAGGAAATCTGAGCGTGCCTGACGGTAACTGTGAGGAATCTAGTTAGGTGGCATCATGCTGAACGTGAGTGATTCCGGCTGGTCAAACTCTGCGGGCTGGCTGCAGCACTCTCTTCCATCACTGTACAACACCTTTATTTGTTCTCCGTAATCGGGTTCCTCTCCCATATAAAACAAACGAAATTCACTTCCATAAAACGTTCACCTTTTGTTTTCTTTCTGGAATTTTTTTCTATGCTTGTGAAATACAGTGAAATTCAAAACAAATACTGAGGAAACACCTTCCCACACCCTGCTTTTCGGCAGCTTTCATACCCGCCGGGATCTGTTTCCAACCCCTTTGCTGGTCCCTCAGAACGAGAAGGGTCATTAACTAAGCAAAAATTGATTCATGGCAGTGAGAAAAAAAAAAAATCAGCTATGTGTTTTTAGCCCAAACCACAGACTGCTCTGATCTTATGAATACACAGGAGGAAGCTGTGGAGAATTCTCACACAAAAAAGCCTCAGTTGATGTCAGTGCTTGAAAGCCTGGAGGCTGAAGAGGTTTGGTGCCAGTCCTGTTGGGGAAGCTGAGAAAGATTCAACAGGGCAGCTCCTTTCCCTCATTAGACTGGTACATCAAAATCATTAAGGAAAGAAAAGTAGGCATGCATCCTCAGTAAAATAAATAAATGCAGACTTCTAACTCTATAAAAGCAAGTGCTGAATGTATGTCCTGGCAACTGATGTCCCTGAAACCACAACATTGAAAAGGTGAGAACTGCCTGTGTTTGGAGGCTTGGGGAACATATGCTTGGAGGAACCCTGACGGGTCAGCCTGTTCACTCCCTTTTGCTGAGGCAATAGCAACTCTCCCTAATGTTGAGTGGGCTTGCTCTGAAACTTAATTTCCATCTTGATACTGAAACTGCTGTTTGACTGCCTATCAAAGCTTTTAAAATAAAATGATGGTGAATAACATTAAGAAAATTTACACCTCCTACTTTGGCTGGCATCTTTTTTTAACTGTTAGTGAGCAGAGCTCAGAGTGCTGGGAATTTTCCCCCACATCTGACCACAGATTTTCAAAAAGGAAAATTCATTCTATTGAAAATCTATTATGTTAAAGCTAAGAGGAAATGTAGCTGTCAGTCAGAAGGGGGAGAATATTATTGCCATTTATTTCTATAAAGCTAGTAGAAATCATGCTCCCTTATAGATGAGTAGGAAGAAAACAACCTTGCCCTGGGAAGACAAATTCAGTGTATAAAATCATGTAAAACGATAGTCTGGAGGGAATGGCAATCAGAGGAATCAAGCGAGCAGCTACAGTGTTCAATGGAGTGTTTTGTATGAGGAATTCAGGTCATTTATTTCATTGCTGCTTCATGTTGTCTTCTGTGGAAGGGACAAGAAAGGAGGGTTAATTTGCTCCCCATTACGATCAGACAGGAGAGGGGAGAACAGAGAAGGCTGGTTCAGAAGGCTGGTGATGTGAAAGGTGTTTGTCTAAGGAGGCATTTAAGGGAAGGAAGGAAGAGCTGTGGTACAACAAGAGAGGGGAGAAGGTTCTGAGCAAATGCGTTCGGCACGGCCCTCCGGGGCGCCAGACAAAGGAACCTCAATCAAAGTAGATCGGAAGCGCGAGTGAAACAAGCTGAAACGGGGACACGAGCAACACTACGTCCACTTTGAAGACCAAGTCTTACACTGCGAATTTGAAAAGGGTTGGTGTAGCAGGGGAGAGACAGATGTGGCTGCAGCACTTCGGGAAGAACGTCCTCCACAAGAGTCCCCTCTGAGCTTACAAAGCTGCAACGTCTGCAGCACAGCCTCCTCCAACCCAGATAACCGACGTTTGTTACAGTCAATGAAAAGTCACGGTCAGAGCGAACTTTGGTGTATTTTCAGGCATTGGCAGGAATGCTTTTTGCAATGTTTCCATGTTAACAGACATCACACTCAAATACTGAGACAATTAGTAATTATTCTTGATTTTAACAAGAAATGTTAATCACTGGCAAATATATCCAAATACGACACTCCTGCAAATTCACTTCCTTGCCATTCCCAGTTCCTTGCAAAGGCTGGCAGCAGGCTATTTCAGCTGGCCTTGGGTATAAATGTGCTCAGCTGCTGCTCAGCACCAGGACAGCCCATGCTGAGCCCGGCCCCTCCACGCTGGCTGCTCTTTTCGGCTTGTAGTAGGAGTACAGCATAGGAGCGCTACCCCCCCATCCGCTTTAATAGCAGCGATGGTGGGTGTCACCTACCTGTCACGCCTGACTCACCCCACCATCTTTTTTTGTTGTTTTCATTTAAATATTTAAGCACTCGGATATTCCAGCCACTCTGCAGTTCACCTCCTCGGAAAGGAGCAATGTTTCAGAGGTGTTACCATAGAAACAGTGGAGAGAGGAGGCAGCTGAACATGAAGGAAAGTCGTCCAACATTACATCCAGAGACGTGCTTTGGGGGAACTTGAAATTAAAAAATGTATAATTAATTGTGCTGCTGCTGAGCATGTGCTTTTACTTATTGCTTCCTTACAAGTGACAAGAGGCAACCTTTTTGCCTGTGACGGGGAAACAAGGTCGCCGTGTATGGAATTTTAAGTCTGTTGGGTCCTTTTTGGCATAGGAGAGAGCACCGCTCCTTGGAGATGGCCACCGGTGCTAGTCCTCTTATCAGCAAGGTCAGGGAACTGCAATGGTATTGTAAAGGGTCAGCAATGCTAGGTTCCTCAAACAAATCCATTCTACTGCTAGCAGCAGGCTGTGAGCGTCGCTGAGTTGTGATTTGAGGTGCTCACAAAGTTTAATCAGGCTATGGGAAAAAGAAGATTAGCATTAGTGGAAGTAAAAGTGCCGCTAGATATGGCATGCCCCTTCCAATTATACAAATGAACACACAAAGCCACAATGCCCAATGCTCTGAAGTGGGTATTAAATCAACCCTGCAGGTAAATATAAAAGCATGCCATTGTCAGTCTGTCACCCTATGTCCTGAAGTACCACAATCACCTCTCTCAAGCATGGGAAGGAATAACTGGCTTTGCCAGTGCTCACATCATAAAATAATCTCTGCCATCTCTGGTGAGGTTGTGCAGCTTTACCGAACTACGTGTTGTCTGTAGAGAAGGTAACAAAGGAAAATCCAATGTTACAATTACGTGTTAAGCACGATAAGTTAAAAAAAATAAAAATAGTAATGGAAAGCATATTCACTTCACACATGGGCAAGTTGACCACAGAAACAATATGCTTAGCTATGCCACACAAAATGTTCTGTTCAGAACAGGACCAGAAAAAGAACATCAGAGACTTGAAATTTAGTTGCTCTCCATGACCATTCAGACCATGATGTTCAAGCCCATCAATGGATATCAAATCTCTTTGAACAAGGATAACAGTACAGCTGTTTATCTGGATAAATAAATGTTTATCTGGAGAAAACTGATCTTCCGTCCATTTCACAATCCTTTAAAAAAGAAAGTATTGAGCTGCATTTAGCCTTGTGACTGATGAAGGAGTCTCAGAGAATTAGTTATGCTCTTGGCATTGACAGTACAAAGGAAGGGAAGAGACAGGCTGTGTTTTATGCAATTTGTTTTTCTTGTTGTTGGAAATCTATCATACTATTCCTGCCTAAATTATCAAGATGGTTGATAAGCTGGAAATAGATCATTGTGGTGAATGTTACATAGCTAGCTATTGTGTAACTGAACTGCATTTTCTATCTTAGCTTTCCAAGCTCTAATAAATTATATCAAAAAAAAAAAAAAAAAAAGAAAAAAAAAAAGAAAAAAAAAGAAAAGCAAGTATTATGGAAGATTTAACCAGCCTTAAAATGTGCTGAGGTTTGGCAGTGGCTTAGCCATGAAACCTGAGCGAAAGGGCACAGTTTTGTTTTTGCTGTTTCTGTCCCCCAGAACAGATCAGAAGCTTCCAGAGAGAGGCTGCCTCCTGCTCTCCTCCTGCTCCGTGCCTAGCACAGCCTGTCCCTGCCAAGTGCTGGGGCTGCCAGGGCAGACGTCCTGTCGTGCCCACTTGCGTGAGGTGGGAACGCAGCAGCCCCCAGCCTTCAGGGCTTGCACTGCTGCACTGCCTGTGGCAGGCAGAAAGCTAGTAAGTACATATGTCACTACTCTTTACGTCAAGTACCCCTCATGAACAAATAGCCATTTCAACTCTTATCTGAAAAATCTCTCTACCCTTCTGCTTTTCTTTGTGTTTCTGAGTTGCTGCTTGCTGACTCTGATGGACCCTGGACCAATTCCTCAGAGAAGAAAGAGCTTTCAGCTCATCATCAAGTCTCTGAGCAAGCTAGTCCTCCAGGAAAAAGAAAAATACTTTAAGTCACTCTCAGAATAATAATCATGCACAAGGTCTGATCCTTTTTTTTTTTTTTCCATGTTTCAACAGGCATCCGAACCAACGAATGTGAGTACAGTTACACCTCATCCAGACTCAGTTTTCTGTTTGTTGATGCAGTGCCTCTGGCTTTGAACCTTGTGGAAGGGGTTGCATCATGTATTGGTGTGCTCACAGGTGGTTTTCAAAGGCTTGCTTAAAGCAGGTAAGTGTCCTAGCAGTCCTAGCTGCTATTTTTCTTACTTACAGGCTGCTATAAAAAGCCATAATAAGAAATCAGTACTATAGATTCCAAAACACTGAAAATCTGTTCTCTTTGCCTTGATAAAATAAATTGCTGGTATTAATGCTTGTGATCTCTCTGGTGAACTCAAGGATACTAAGGTGCCATCATGCTTCTAAAAATCTAGTGCTATTTAGTGATTTAAACATTTTACAGTCTCAGACCATAATGAGGAGCAGGCTCAGAGGAAAGGGAGATAAAATATTTTAGCTCTAGCTTTACTGTCTTCTTAAACTTCTCAGCGTTATCTGTTTTGCTACCTGAGGAATGTTAAGGAAGTGAAATCAAATTTCTATCTGATATTAGGTCATATGCAATATTTATTCTGGAGGCTGAAGCAGTTTCATTCACTCTTGAACTACTTACAACATGAACACACTATCAAGTCTCAATAGATCATTCTATAGATCTGTCAAGTAAATGTCTTTGAAAATGAAAGTAATTTGCACACTGTACGTATATATGTGTGTGTACAGGCTTAGTAGGAGTATTAATGACCATCCATCCATGCAAAGGACTGAAGAATGTAATTTATTAAAGATGGGAAGAGAATTTGCAGGTGGAAAATAATACAAAATCTGGCCAGTCCAGCATGTGTTTTGAGCACCAAATAGTACCAGAGGTTGCAAAAATAGGCTGAAGAAGTTGAATCTCAGTAGGAAGGCTTCTTCTAATCCCAGGTAGCTGGAGATTAGGTCCAATCCTGAAACTTGGAGAAGTTTGATCCTTCAGTAGTTTCTTGGTTTTGTGGGTTGCTTGTTTTTGGCAATTTAGAGCAGCTAATGAGTCGTGGTACCTGTTATATAAATATCCAGCCTCTCTATGAATTTTTTTTTTCTAATTTCTTAGTCTTTTCTTCAAGATCTGTACAGCTAACAGGGAGTTTCTCCCAGTGAGGCTTCATACATTTTTTCCTGGGTGCTAACGTATTATAAAGGACCATGCATATTTGCTTATGAAATGATAATTGATCTGATTTACATTAAAAATCCATACAGGCAAAAGTACTTTCTTTTTGAAACTATGGCTAGAGTTTTCTCCAGGTGTATAATTACAGTTCTGGGTTTTGATATTGATAAAATGTTGCACAGAAAGGCTAAAGAGTTGCTGAAGACATATGTTTATCTCATACTCTTTACTTTTAAAATTTATATGCCAGATTATTACTTTTTACAGGGGAATATGCAGAAGAACAGCACAGAAGGAAATCCAGAACTGAGAAATAGGGGAGTGGTAACTCCACTATATGCTTTTCATGAAGCCTGTGTAAACCCACCTGGGTGAGCTCTGCAGCCTTGTGATTCAGTGCGAGCCTGGGAGCAGCGGCTGGTACTATCCCCCTGCCCAGGATGTTCCCTCCTGCCCCACAGAAACCCAGTACCTGGAATCACTATCAAAGAAGCATCCATATTTTGTCTGAATTTGCACATGGCTTAGAGTGGAGCCTTCAGTGGACATTAGGGAACCCAGGCTCGGAAGGTTACAGACTTGTCCAGTACTTCTTTCTAGGAAGCTCCAGCCACCTTCTCCAGGAGGGCATATCCTCAGAGAATTTTGGCAAGGCTGTTTTCCTGAATGATCTGGACATTTTCCCCTCCACTGCATGTCTTCTCAGAAGAAAGCTGAAGTCTTAAAGTCTCTGAAGTTTAATGGACTGCTAAAGAATATGCACTTCTGCTGAGCAGCCTAACCTCACACAGCACTGTAGCAGTGAGGGTTGTTGTGTCAGAGACTGGGTTAGTATTTCTGATGCCGTGAGTGGTGAAATGTATTTCTCGCTAAAGCATTGACACTAGGAACTAAGTAATTCTTGTATTTTACTTTGTCATGGTTAGTCACGCCATTCTCACCATAACTGAAAAAGAGAAATGGACACTGAGAAATTATCACTGAGCACCTGCCTTTGTGGTTTGGAGAGGATGGGTGGGGGCTGGATTGCAGAGGAATGTATTTTGGGTCTTTGTGACCTTGCCCTCTAAGCAAAAGGAAAAACATGGGTTTGTTCAAGGATGTGTTTGTCAATGGCAGTTAAGGAGAGAAAGTTGGCAAATTAAATATATATATGTGTATCTTTCTATTTCTGGAAGCCGCCTTTCTCATCTTATTACCCTTGCAATTATACATTTTAATTCAGTAACTTTCCATTTCAGTACACAAACTACATTCAAATACATTTGTCTCTTGAATCCTGATCCTACCAAACCTTGCTGCTGTCTGCTATACTGATGTCATTTGACTTCAAGAATTTAGTGTATTAAGTTTTGACCAGTAAAAAGCAAAATGCACATATGCACAAACATTTCAGAAGTTCATTCTGGACCCAAATCCACTGCTAACTTCAGATGTATCAAATATTGTAGCTTACTGATGCACAGGAAAATTTACTATAAAGATTTTACCAAGTTTTTTATTAAAATTTATACAAAGCTTACCTATTCCTATTGTACATTGGTTTTTGTTGTTGTTGTTTTTCTTCCACATGCTCGGGAATGCAGCCATTCATCTACATTTGAGGCTTTCTAGATTTACTTACAGAACTGTGTGAAATCTTGTCCCACTGATCACATCAGAACCCCAAGCCGCTGGCAGTCAGTTCCTTACACAACTGACTCACCTGCCAGGCCAGCCTTCCACCCCCAGAGTCTTTCCCCGTGTCCCTCTTCATGCCCTCTGGCAAGCTGTTTCTTCATTTTTCTCATCCTCTCCATATGATTATGCTCCTTCTTCCTGCTGCTCACACAGAGAGCATCTATATTCACAGTCAGTCCCCAGGCAAACACTAATTTTTGACCAGTCATGCACGTCTGTGTTCATGCAATGTCTCCCATAGTTCCTGCTGTAGTGTAGTGCTAAGAAACTTAATTGCTTCCAACATTTCTCCCAAATTAAGAGTATCTGAAATGCTATTTACCATAACAATACTGGGAGGGAGGGCTATTTCAATCTCACACCGATATTAATGAGGGTTAATTACACAGAGGCTGATGGAAGCAACCTGGGATGAACTCAGTGAGTGCCCTTCAGTTTTAAGAAGTACCACATAAATCACTCTCTTTCACTCTTTCCCACAGGCCCACTTGTCAGAGATTAGAGATAATAGCAGGTATCTTTAAACTAGTCACAGGCAAGGGCTTTGTTCAGTAGTTCGTATAGGAGACCTTTATGATTATGAAAGCAAAGGTATAAAGAAACCATTTACCTTTTCAAATATCTTATTTACCTTTGTTGGACTAGACGGGCTGTGCAACAATAAAGGAAAACAAAGAATAGCTTCAAGGCAGAGGCATCAGCCTCTTCATCTCTATCAGTTGTTCTGCTTCTCCAGAAGTGGCCTCACAGTAGCAATTCTAGTAGGAATTAAAATATTTTCCTACAGAAGATGCAGAGAGAACAAGACCTGTGTGCTGCAGAATACACAGGACTCAGAGTCATTCACATGGATGATATTTTCCTTTGGTCCATACCATCACATACACGTGACCACAACCACAAAACCACAAAAAGCTCTCGCTAGCCAGCAGTACATTGAAGCTTTAAATGATGCCCAGACCTGTATTATAAACATTTCAAAGAACATAAGACTGAGGATTCATTCATACGTTCAGCAACTTTTTCAGTGAGTAACATCTGAACACTATTTTAGTGCACCAAATGCTGTGATCAGGACCCTGATGAGGTCATGACTAAAATAGGGCACAGAACCTGTATTAGCTCCTGGAGAAATCAGTGGATTTATTTTTGCTGACTTAATAGGAATCAAATCTTTTCCTTACAACATAACAAGCTGTAGAAAAGAGAAGAGAGTGCCAAAAAGAACAAGAGTAATATATGAATTCTGCCCAATAATCATTATCCAACTCTTCCTTACAGTTATCCCAGGAAGAGTAGCTGCTTTGGATCAACTTGGAAATTGCTGCACACAAGCTGAGAAAGATGAAAGCAAAGAATCTGCAGACCTCAGCTGATATTAACACCTGTGATGGATCCAGGCTTCTGAAATCACCATCTGATTAGATAAATTTGCACATAGGGCAACATACAAAATCAAATGTAATGTGCCTCGATGTTTTCTCAGTGCTCTGAGCATTCCTGAGGCTTATCTAACAACACTGTTTTAGAGAAGTGGGAATTAAAGAAAACTTTTCTATGGAGCCCTGGCAATGCATTTCTGGGTAATTTCCCGGTATTATATTTTTTTCTTTTGGAGAAACCCCAGCAAAACCAATAGAATGCATGTGGAGAGAAACTGCAGAGTTTCTTCCCCTTTCTATATCTGAGGAATTTCCTGAACAAAGAGTTTTCCCATATCTGCAGAACAAGAAACTGCTTGTTTATACGGTAGATTTCCCCACATACCTCTCTAATGTTTGTTACATATTTTATCTAAGAGAGCAAAAGTTTAATAAAAGTAAAATTTCAGAAATGAAGAAATAAAAATCACATTTTTACAAGCACAGCTGCAAATAAAGGGAACAAACAATTGTTACACAGCTTACACAGTTGGGACGGAAAGTTATACATGCCTAATAAAGTTAAATGGGAAAAGGTGCTTAAACCAAACAGTGATATCACTGCAGCCACCATTGAGAATGACTTACAAAATTGACTGTCTTCTTAATATGAAATAGAGTAACAAAGAACCAACTAGGACACTTAAGAGATAAGTCTCTGTGTTAGCAGAAACCTCAAAGGGAATGTAACAATTCCCCTGAAAACTGGACCTCGTTTATAGGCTACGCTGCTAATTAACGCAGCAACTACAATGCATGAGGGGAACGAGAATTTCCAAGTTGCATGTACAAACAGAAAGGGAGCAGAAAGTCTCTTTTACATGCACATCAGTTTCTGTTATATTTCTCCATTCCAGCAAGAATTATTAAATGGAAAAAAGAAAAAAAAAAAAAAAAAAGAGAGAGAGAGAGATAAAAATATACGTAACAAACCCTAGGAAATTAACTACATGAACCAATGAGCCCAGCAGTGCAGGAAACACTTGACAATTCTCTAATTACCAGGGTACACCTAGCAAGTTAACCTTTTGTGTTCACATACTACCAGGCAGCAGGTGATATGTGCTCGTCTACGTAGGTCTGTGGAAATACGGGCTGTACGCTTACAAAGTGAGAACAGCACACCATCTGTCTAATACTACCCATACTGCAAGCACATCACTATTTTAAGTCTCAAACTCCTCAGTACCAAGGAGGCAGAAGGCAAGTGTTGCCATTACATTGTAGTTATATTTATGATGTGTGTACATTTTGTCTCAGAGTGAGAATCCAAGGCTAGTAGCCAAAAATACTCAGAGTTATCATGATAGTGGTGCTTTGGACTTTCCTCTACACCAAATGGTACTTCATTAGCCTAGAGAGAGCTAAATTGTTACCTAAAAGTAGCATAGTTACAAAATGCAAGAGAATTTTTGTCTGTCTTTCTGAAGATAAGTCAAGAATGGCTTCAGGAAGAAGGACAGCCCAGTGTCACAAGCATAAGAGACCAGGTAAAACCTACATCAGCTGGCACTGAGCTGTGTGCTGTGCTGCTGAGAGCATCCAGCCTCTAAAGCCAGGAAAGGAACACGTCCCCCTGCTGTAGTCAAGAATGGCAGCTACTGGAATGTAAATAGCAAAGCAAAACATAAAGATTATGTTTATGAAAGGGGTTATATATGAAAGGACTTAATAAACTCTTACAGCTATCATTCCATGAATGCGTATCATGAGGCATATTCCATATCCATATATATGCATCAGCTGTGATGAAAGTAATAGAGTTAACTAAGCCCTGACTTCCCTTAGCAACAGAGAGCATTTTCCTCTCAGTTTAGAACAGTAGCTCCTTCATGCTTTACTGCCATGTAGTTTCCAGAGCAGCTACTTGTAGCAGGAGTGTGCGTGTCCCCTGAAACTGCAGGAAACCCCCAGCACCGGGTCTGCCTCTGCAGTTCTGGGCTGGGCGCTCCCTCCTGTGTTTGGCAGAGGTCTAAGAGCCGGTGCTCACATCTCAAGAGAATGAATATGCCACCATCTTCCATCTTCATGTTTTTGCCTTGTGTTTGTAGTGGTACATATACTGTACATATTCTCTGAAAGAATGACCTGGGTATGGAGATTCGTTTAGACTTGTGAAGATCTTGTATTCAGCCCGCTGGTCTCATGAAACCTCAGAAGAAGGTGGTATCTGTATTATTTGCATAGTTCATCTTCAGTTGCTGTCTTTCCATGCTAGAAGGCTGCTCTAGATAAGACAACAGTTGTCTGTCCCACTCCCTTTATTGTAAAAAGGAGCAGAGTTGCAGCTCCAATACATTCACCAAAACCATTTTCTGTTCCTAGTGGCAATGCTGAAGGGCTCAGAATTGCTCCCAGTCCTTAGATGTGTGAATCTAACATGGAAACACACTATTGCAAGATACCCTTCATCACGTCACGGGGAATTTTATTCTGCTGGCAATACGGAACCTGATGTCTATGGCTCTGTTGAGTTCACATTGGTTTTCTGAGCATTCCCAATAGACAGCTTTTATTTGGCTTTGATGTAAAAGCTACTCATCCTCTCTGTGGTCCAAAATCTATCTCCCTATGTTCTTCTCTCCATTACATGAATCATTTTTGCTAGGTGATAATTCCGGTTTCTCTTTTTGATCTTGAAGAAGTTGTTAACTCTCTTTTGAAATTCCGCTGCTTTTGTTTGTGTATCACTGCCTGACCTCTGCATTTAAGGCCAGTCAGGAGTTTGCAAATTATTAACTTTCCATCGTATTGAATCGTATGGCATCGTATTGTATCGTATCATATCACATCAAATAATTTGCAGGTGTTATATATCATACTACACATATATATAATATTTATAGTATATAATATATATATTTAGATATAATCTCACCTTTGGAGTCACTGCTTTTTTGTTTCTCATTTTACTAATTTATAAGCTCCATAATTACTGCATATGGCCCAATACACATGACATTTTCCACCAGCATTTTCCACTCTCCATCATATCTTCATGTTTTCTTTCACATTCTGTTTGTTTTGCCTTTTGCCTTTGCATTTGCACAAATATTAGTGTATTTTGCTTGTTTTTCATGAGAAAACCAATTACCACAGTCTCTCCACCACATATGCTCTGCATTTGCAGATGAATGTGCTCACGTGTACATGTCTATGGCTCTTAGTAAAGTTAATGTGAGCTCCCTGAACAGCCTTAGTCAAGCACATTCATCTTGTCCCTATCATTTCTGACACATTCACCTTTTTAGAAGTGACAATCCAGGAGCTGACTATTTTGTGATATGCCGGTCTATTGTTTCTCCAGATCTTTTATCAAAAAGAAACCTTTTATTTATGACATTTTTGAACGATGAAACAG